TACACGACCAGAATGGGGGGCCAAGATCCGGGAAGGGTGGGGCCTAGGGAGGCCTGAGGAGGTGGGATCAAGCGAGGTTTAGAGAACGGGAGAGAAAGCTGCTTGAGGAGGGAAAAGAGGAGGAGCTTGACTTCCTCAGGAGAGGGAGGGGCACTTTGGCCAGGGGCAGCCAAGGGAGCTTGCATCTGAAAGCCGAGGAAAAGTAGATGGGAGATTGCTGAAAGTGGAAGGAAGGGCACGAGTGTTTGGCCTCCCTCCTGGGTTTCAGCCCATTTGAATTTCTGACTTGCTTATTAGGCAACCTAAAAAGGAGGCATGAGGGCAAAGAGGGAAGAGCGAATCTATTATTAGTAGGACCTCAATTTTATTTCTTCATCATAGCATTCCCTGGGAACTCACTAGGACTACAGCTTTCTCCCTCCGTTCCCAGAACTACTTCTTCAGGAGGTCCAGGAATGGGAAGGAGATTTTTTTTTTTAAGAATTATTTTTTTATTTAAGTTTGTTTCTTTGTTTTAATTTGACCAGATAGGGACAGAATGAGAGAGAAAGAGAAAATGAGACAGCAATCCGCCAGGTACCGGACTCGAACTGTGATGGGCCATGTAGGAGTCCAGTGCCCCTTAACCACCACGCCACCTGCTGGCCCCAGGGAGGAGATATTTTAAACATGAATTTCAGCTGGTTCTCAGAACTGGGATTCTCCATTTCTGGTGTCTGTCACCGAGTAGCCCAGGACAGGGCATGTTTTCTCTCCCTGTCTTAGCTTCCTCCCTTATCTTCTGAAGGATGCCGAGCTGTTTTAAGTCTCAGAATGAAGAAAAGTAATATATTTAGAGAAAAGGTATAAAGTATTTGACACAGGTGAGATGTGGCTAGAGGAGCAGACAGGTTAGGAAATAGGAGCTTTTTATTAACTAGAAGAAATTCAGACATGAGCCTTTTGTCAGTCCTGAATTTTTAAGTAATGGTATTTTTGCTACGCTAGCTTTTCTGTAATCAAAGACATGTGTATTGGTCAACACATTCAGTACCAGGCACAGTTTTAGGTCCTGAGGATAAATCACTAGACAAAATAGATACCTTCATGGAATTTAATGTTTAGCCTTCACTGCTCAATACAGTAGCCACTAGTCATATAGCTGTTTAAACTTATTAGAATCAAATGAAGACTCAGTCTCACGAGCTGCATTGTAAATGCTCCAAAGCCTCTTACGGTAGAGCTACCATAGTGGACAGTGCAGATATAGAGCATTTCTTTCATTGCAGGAAATTCTGCTTGATGGTGCTGCTCTAGAGAATAAGACACTTTCTAATTTATAATGTCAGTTTGTCCTAAATGCCATGGGGAAAAAGGAGGAGGTAGTGTGGTAAGAGGAGGGGCTGTCTTGGCCAGGGTGATCAGGGAAGCCTCTCCAAGGAAGAGCATGTAAAAAGAGCTATGTGAAGTTAGGAAGTGATTCCTAACTGCACACACACAGCCAGGCTCCAGGCTAGGAGCTGCTGCTGGGTGGGGTAGCCAGGATAGTCGCAGCAAAGGGAGTGAAGTTAGTGAGTTGGGAATGTTGAGGCGGTTTGAATTGTCTTCAACCTTCTGAGGATGTGGAAATTTACTTTAAGGTGATGGAATGGTGGTGGCCAGCTTAAGCATAGCAGTGTGGGGAGAGGTAGTTGGCTGTGGGTTACCTTTTGGAGGTAATAGGACTTTTTGCTACATAAGGTTAGGTATATGAGAAAAAGTAATGAGTTGGCAGGAACTTCAAGGTTTTGGGTTGTTTTTAAAAAATATATTTAAAATATTCAGTAATGTGGGGACCAGCAGTTGGCGTAATGGCTGTCGCTAGACTCCCACGTAGTCGACCACAGTTCGCGTCTCGGACCCGGTGGCTTAAAACTCACACTGGGTGTGTGTGCATGCATGCCCAAGATCCCGAGAGGAGAATGGAGAAGAGATTGCGGAGTGGCCATCCCCCCAGGGGGTGATTTCTTGCTTTCTGTCTCTGTCTGGCGAGCGCACACACCCTATAGCAGAAACCTCTCCCCCCCAAAAAAAATTTAGTAATGTATGTAATACCTTTAATGAAAGGAACAAAACTAGACAGTTAAGTTCTAGTGAGTGTTTGTTGCCCAAGGCCCTGTGCCCATTTCTGCTGCTCCCCTTTTTTTCAAACAGGTGTTTAGCCAAGAGCTAGGAAGGTATAGAAGACATCCTAGCACCAAAGGGAGCTTTCTCATTAAATAAACCAAGCAAACTGAAAGAGAATGGTGAAGGAGGTCCTTTTTTATGAGAGTCAGTGTTATTTATTTTTAGAAAGTGTTGCCATAAGGCATGTGCCCTCTCTGGAGAGAGAGACAGACAGATAGTGAGAAATTATGGCCATGCCATAATCCCTTCTCCTCCATTCTCCTCTTGGGATTTTGGGCACACATGTACACACACCCAAAATGAGTTTCAAGCTGCCGGGTCCACAACTTAAACCATAGTCTATCTAGAGTCCAGCGCTCTAACCACCAAGCCACTGCTGGCCCCAAGAGTCATTGTTATTTAATGTCATACCCATGTACTTTTACTTGCAGAATAGAATTTCATTTTGTATATGTTTTATTTTATTTTAGAGAGATATTTTTGCTATGGAGTGCATGTACTCACCAGAAAGACAGAGATGGAAAGCAAGAAATCACCCCCACAGGAGTGATGGACACCCCATAATCCCTTCTCCAGTCTACTCTTGGGATTTTAGATCTTGGGGATGCATGCCCACGCACCCAGTGTGAGTTTTGAGCTGCTGGGTCTGGGACTCAAACTGTAGTTGACTACGTGGGAGTCTGGTAATGTAACCATTATGCCATCTGGTCCCATTTATTTTGATTTTTAAAATTTGCTGTAGGGCATACCTGCTTGCCAAGGTGTGGGGAGAGAAATCACCCACCCAGAGAGGATGGCCACATATCAATTTCTTCTCCTCCATTCTCTTGGGATTTGGGGCATGCACTCACACACACCTGGTGTGCTTTTCCAAGCTGTCAGATCCAGGATTTGAACTGTACAGTAGACTCTGGGATCCAGCCAACTACTGGCTCTTGTTCTTTATTTTCCTCAGGATTTTATTTGCTTTTGTTTCTACACAACCAATATCCTAAACAGCATGTGGATTTCTATTTCAGGAAGAGGTGACCGGAGAAGAAAAGAGCAGACAGGAAAGGAGAATTCTGATACCATCATGCAGCGAAGTATCATGTAAGGGCCCTGAACACCCACCTCCTCCAGTTGCATACTCCCCAGGTCCTTGATTTCTTTTTCTAAACCTGTACCTTTTCTTAAAAAAACAAACAAACAAACAAAACAAACCTCAAGTTAGACTTCAAGTTAGATTTTCTAGTTTAGTAGTATGGAAAATGGAGAGTAAGGTAGGGAAGACTGATAGTCTAAAAAACTTGTTCTAGTTGCAAGGGAGAGACTTTCTCACCCAGTGGTTCTAAATCAGCAGAGAGTTTGCTTCCCTCTCGAATATCTGGTAATATCCGGAGACAGTTTTGGTTGTCACAACTTAGGGGCATGGAGGTTTACCACCGGCATCTAGAGAATCAAGATCTGGGTGCTGTTTCATATCCTTCCATGCTCAGGACAGCCCCACAGCAAAGAATGAGCTGGCCCAAAACATCAGCACTGTCTAGGTGGAGACTGTTACTGATGCAAGCTGGCTTCATGGAAAAAAGTTACTTGGCTTATGTAGCTGAAACCTTCTGGAATAAGTGGCCACAGGCTTGATTGGATTTAGTTTCCAAATCTTTGTTATTGGGAATCTGTCTCCACTAGTCAGGTCTGCTTAAAACATGCTGTTGTCACCCTCAGGCAGGCTCTCCTTTGTTATCCATCTCAGTGGAGAGAGAGTTTCTCTCTCTCCAGCTGTCCTGACAGTCCAGGGTAAAGTTTCCTTGGCCTGCCTTGGGCTGCATGCCTGTTCCTGACTTAGCTGCTGTAGCCTCAGGGATGTGATGTGGTTGACCAGGCCTGGGTCCTGTGTCCACCTGTGGGCCTGGGTGAATGGACAGGCCCACTGACATCAGATGTACTGAGAGAATTTGGGAAAAGAAGCATCCTAAGAGGAAAGTAGAGGCTGTTACTAAGAGGAGGGACTAGAAGCTAGATGGATCCAGAACCAGACTCCCTTCTCAGAAACCTGAGTATGGCTTCCACAAAGCCTGGGCTGCATTTTTCTCACATGAGGACAAATGTGGGAAGAGACTGTTCTGGGCTGATAGCTCCTTTGATTGCTTTCATCTAAGGTTGCTTTCCCCTTGCTTTGCTCTGTTTTCTTCCTTTTCCTCCTCTTTTGTTTTTTTGAAAATTAAATGAACTTTTTATTTATTTATTTATTGGAATAATTTAAAGGCATATAGAAAAGTTGCCAAGCAATACAGAGTTCTCGTAACCATCTCACCCACTTTCCGTTCTTCACATCTTACGTTACTTGGGCTAATTTGTCACAGCCGTGGGATCAGCATTGGTGGGTGGCTATTAACGAAACACACTTTATTAATCAGATCACTGTGTCTCCTCCATCTCCTCTCAGTGACAGTTTTTCAGATTTCTCTTGTTTGTTTATTTATTTATTTATTTATTGTCAGCTTCTCAGCCTTGAGGTACACTGGCCAGTGGAATGTCTCCCAATTTTGGTTGTTCTTAGAATTAGACTAGGGGTATGAGCATTTGGAAATACACCACTGAGAGGTGTCACCTCATTAGGGGCACCTGACATCTCATGACATCCCTCCTGAAACTAACCTTCATCACCGGGGTAGGCGAGTGTTGGCCAGGCCCTTCCACTGTACACTTCCTTTATCTCCCTCTCAGAACTCTGTTCTTTGTTATCTAAACACTCAGACTAGACAATCTTAAGTTAGTTGGACGATAACTTGCTTTATGTTTTCAGAGCACTTAATCCTCCTGACATTTTGTGTTCATTTACTCGCTTAATATTTGCCTCATATTGGATCGTTCGAAAAATCATGATGCATTTTTTTTTTTTACAGAAAAACATAGAAAAGTATGTCATTACTTAATTTAGTCAGGGCAGAAAAATGTGCAGTGTTGGCTTCTCTGTCTGAGCCTCAGTTTCCTTATTAGTCAAAGGGTTGTGTGAGTCCTGTTATGTGCCAGGATGGAGAAGGACTTTGGAAGCTGTAGGGCACGGCATGAGTAGGTGCTGTTAACACTCCCTCATCCTCTCTTCTGTGCTCTTCCAGGTCATTTTTTCACCCCAAGAAAGAGGGTAAAGCAAAGAAGCCTGAGAAGGAGACATCCAGCCAAAGCAGAGAGGTGGACTCATCCTCAAAGTGAGTAACGGGGCCAGGACCAGTGGCTGATCCAACAGCAGTCATGCTTCTTGTGGTTATAGGTGTTACAGCCCCAGTCCGAAATGTCTTGGGCTCTAAAAGAAATGTCTTTACTCAGGAAGCTGGATGTCTATGAGGGCAAAGAGGGAAGAGCGAATCTATTATTAGTAGGACCTCAATTTTATTTCTTCATCATAGCATTCCCTGGGAACTCACTAGGACTACAGCTTTCTCCCTCCGTTCCCAGAACTACTTCTTCAGGAGGTCCAGGAATGGGAAGGAGATTTTTTTTTTTAAGAATTATTTTTTTATTTAAGTTTGTTTCTTTGTTTTAATTTGACCAGATAGGGACAGAATGAGAGAGAAAGAGAAAATGAGACAGCAATCCGCCAGGTACCGGACTCGAACTGTGATGGGCCATGTAGGAGTCCAGTGCCCCTTAACCACCACGCCACCTGCTGGCCCCAGGGAGGAGATATTTTAAACATGAATTTCAGCTGGTTCTCAGAACTGGGATTCTCCATTTCTGGTGTCTGTCACCGAGTAGCCCAGGACAGGGCATGTTTTCTCTCCCTGTCTTAGCTTCCTCCCTTATCTTCTGAAGGATGCCGAGCTGTTTTAAGTCTCAGAATGAAGAAAAGTAATATATTTAGAGAAAAGGTATAAAGTATTTGACACAGGTGAGATGTGGCTAGAGGAGCAGACAGGTTAGGAAATAGGAGCTTTTTATTAACTAGAAGAAATTCAGACATGAGCCTTTTGTCAGTCCTGAATTTTTAAGTAATGGTATTTTTGCTACGCTAGCTTTTCTGTAATCAAAGACATGTGTATTGGTCAACACATTCAGTACCAGGCACAGTTTTAGGTCCTGAGGATAAATCACTAGACAAAATAGATACCTTCATGGAATTTAATGTTTAGCCTTCACTGCTCAATACAGTAGCCACTAGTCATATAGCTGTTTAAACTTATTAGAATCAAATGAAGACTCAGTCTCACGAGCTGCATTGTAAATGCTCCAAAGCCTCTTACGGTAGAGCTACCATAGTGGACAGTGCAGATATAGAGCATTTCTTTCATTGCAGGAAATTCTGCTTGATGGTGCTGCTCTAGAGAATAAGACACTTTCTAATTTATAATGTCAGTTTGTCCTAAATGCCATGGGGAAAAAGGAGGAGGTAGTGTGGTAAGAGGAGGGGCTGTCTTGGCCAGGGTGATCAGGGAAGCCTCTCCAAGGAAGAGCATGTAAAAAGAGCTATGTGAAGTTAGGAAGTGATTCCTAACTGCACACACACAGCCAGGCTCCAGGCTAGGAGCTGCTGCTGGGTGGGGTAGCCAGGATAGTCGCAGCAAAGGGAGTGAAGTTAGTGAGTTGGGAATGTTGAGGCGGTTTGAATTGTCTTCAACCTTCTGAGGATGTGGAAATTTACTTTAAGGTGATGGAATGGTGGTGGCCAGCTTAAGCATAGCAGTGTGGGGAGAGGTAGTTGGCTGTGGGTTACCTTTTGGAGGTAATAGGACTTTTTGCTACATAAGGTTAGGTATATGAGAAAAAGTAATGAGTTGGCAGGAACTTCAAGGTTTTGGGTTGTTTTTAAAAAATATATTTAAAATATTCAGTAATGTGGGGACCAGCAGTTGGCGTAATGGCTGTCGCTAGACTCCCACGTAGTCGACCACAGTTCGCGTCTCGGACCCGGTGGCTTAAAACTCACACTGGGTGTGTGTGCATGCATGCCCAAGATCCCGAGAGGAGAATGGAGAAGAGATTGCGGAGTGGCCATCCCCCCAGGGGGTGATTTCTTGCTTTCTGTCTCTGTCTGGCGAGCGCACACACCCTATAGCAGAAACCTCTCCCCCCCAAAAAAAATTTAGTAATGTATGTAATACCTTTAATGAAAGGAACAAAACTAGACAGTTAAGTTCTAGTGAGTGTTTGTTGCCCAAGGCCCTGTGCCCATTTCTGCTGCTCCCCTTTTTTTCAAACAGGTGTTTAGCCAAGAGCTAGGAAGGTATAGAAGACATCCTAGCACCAAAGGGAGCTTTCTCATTAAATAAACCAAGCAAACTGAAAGAGAATGGTGAAGGAGGTCCTTTTTTATGAGAGTCAGTGTTATTTATTTTTAGAAAGTGTTGCCATAAGGCATGTGCCCTCTCTGGAGAGAGAGACAGACAGATAGTGAGAAATTATGGCCATGCCATAATCCCTTCTCCTCCATTCTCCTCTTGGGATTTTGGGCACACATGTACACACACCCAAAATGAGTTTCAAGCTGCCGGGTCCACAACTTAAACCATAGTCTATCTAGAGTCCAGCGCTCTAACCACCAAGCCACTGCTGGCCCCAAGAGTCATTGTTATTTAATGTCATACCCATGTACTTTTACTTGCAGAATAGAATTTCATTTTGTATATGTTTTATTTTATTTTAGAGAGATATTTTTGCTATGGAGTGCATGTACTCACCAGAAAGACAGAGATGGAAAGCAAGAAATCACCCCCACAGGAGTGATGGACACCCCATAATCCCTTCTCCAGTCTACTCTTGGGATTTTAGATCTTGGGGATGCATGCCCACGCACCCAGTGTGAGTTTTGAGCTGCTGGGTCTGGGACTCAAACTGTAGTTGACTACGTGGGAGTCTGGTAATGTAACCATTATGCCATCTGGTCCCATTTATTTTGATTTTTAAAATTTGCTGTAGGGCATACCTGCTTGCCAAGGTGTGGGGAGAGAAATCACCCACCCAGAGAGGATGGCCACATATCAATTTCTTCTCCTCCATTCTCTTGGGATTTGGGGCATGCACTCACACACACCTGGTGTGCTTTTCCAAGCTGTCAGATCCAGGATTTGAACTGTACAGTAGACTCTGGGATCCAGCCAACTACTGGCTCTTGTTCTTTATTTTCCTCAGGATTTTATTTGCTTTTGTTTCTACACAACCAATATCCTAAACAGCATGTGGATTTCTATTTCAGGAAGAGGTGACCGGAGAAGAAAAGAGCAGACAGGAAAGGAGAATTCTGATACCATCATGCAGCGAAGTATCATGTAAGGGCCCTGAACACCCACCTCCTCCAGTTGCATACTCCCCAGGTCCTTGATTTCTTTTTCTAAACCTGTACCTTTTCTTAAAAAAACAAACAAACAAACAAAACAAACCTCAAGTTAGACTTCAAGTTAGATTTTCTAGTTTAGTAGTATGGAAAATGGAGAGTAAGGTAGGGAAGACTGATAGTCTAAAAAACTTGTTCTAGTTGCAAGGGAGAGACTTTCTCACCCAGTGGTTCTAAATCAGCAGAGAGTTTGCTTCCCTCTCGAATATCTGGTAATATCCGGAGACAGTTTTGGTTGTCACAACTTAGGGGCATGGAGGTTTACCACCGGCATCTAGAGAATCAAGATCTGGGTGCTGTTTCATATCCTTCCATGCTCAGGACAGCCCCACAGCAAAGAATGAGCTGGCCCAAAACATCAGCACTGTCTAGGTGGAGACTGTTACTGATGCAAGCTGGCTTCATGGAAAAAAGTTACTTGGCTTATGTAGCTGAAACCTTCTGGAATAAGTGGCCACAGGCTTGATTGGATTTAGTTTCCAAATCTTTGTTATTGGGAATCTGTCTCCACTAGTCAGGTCTGCTTAAAACATGCTGTTGTCACCCTCAGGCAGGCTCTCCTTTGTTATCCATCTCAGTGGAGAGAGAGTTTCTCTCTCTCCAGCTGTCCTGACAGTCCAGGGTAAAGTTTCCTTGGCCTGCCTTGGGCTGCATGCCTGTTCCTGACTTAGCTGCTGTAGCCTCAGGGATGTGATGTGGTTGACCAGGCCTGGGTCCTGTGTCCACCTGTGGGCCTGGGTGAATGGACAGGCCCACTGACATCAGATGTACTGAGAGAATTTGGGAAAAGAAGCATCCTAAGAGGAAAGTAGAGGCTGTTACTAAGAGGAGGGACTAGAAGCTAGATGGATCCAGAACCAGACTCCCTTCTCAGAAACCTGAGTATGGCTTCCACAAAGCCTGGGCTGCATTTTTCTCACATGAGGACAAATGTGGGAAGAGACTGTTCTGGGCTGATAGCTCCTTTGATTGCTTTCATCTAAGGTTGCTTTCCCCTTGCTTTGCTCTGTTTTCTTCCTTTTCCTCCTCTTTTGTTTTTTTGAAAATTAAATGAACTTTTTATTTATTTATTTATTGGAATAATTTAAAGGCATATAGAAAAGTTGCCAAGCAATACAGAGTTCTCGTAACCATCTCACCCACTTTCCGTTCTTCACATCTTACGTTACTTGGGCTAATTTGTCACAGCCGTGGGATCAGCATTGGTGGGTGGCTATTAACGAAACACACTTTATTAATCAGATCACTGTGTCTCCTCCATCTCCTCTCAGTGACAGTTTTTCAGATTTCTCTTGTTTGTTTATTTATTTATTTATTTATTGTCAGCTTCTCAGCCTTGAGGTACACTGGCCAGTGGAATGTCTCCCAATTTTGGTTGTTCTTAGAATTAGACTAGGGGTATGAGCATTTGGAAATACACCACTGAGAGGTGTCACCTCATTAGGGGCACCTGACATCTCATGACATCCCTCCTGAAACTAACCTTCATCACCGGGGTAGGCGAGTGTTGGCCAGGCCCTTCCACTGTACACTTCCTTTATCTCCCTCTCAGAACTCTGTTCTTTGTTATCTAAACACTCAGACTAGACAATCTTAAGTTAGTTGGACGATAACTTGCTTTATGTTTTCAGAGCACTTAATCCTCCTGACATTTTGTGTTCATTTACTCGCTTAATATTTGCCTCATATTGGATCGTTCGAAAAATCATGATGCATTTTTTTTTTTTACAGAAAAACATAGAAAAGTATGTCATTACTTAATTTAGTCAGGGCAGAAAAATGTGCAGTGTTGGCTTCTCTGTCTGAGCCTCAGTTTCCTTATTAGTCAAAGGGTTGTGTGAGTCCTGTTATGTGCCAGGATGGAGAAGGACTTTGGAAGCTGTAGGGCACGGCATGAGTAGGTGCTGTTAACACTCCCTCATCCTCTCTTCTGTGCTCTTCCAGGTCATTTTTTCACCCCAAGAAAGAGGGTAAAGCAAAGAAGCCTGAGAAGGAGACATCCAGCCAAAGCAGAGAGGTGGACTCATCCTCAAAGTGAGTAACGGGGCCAGGACCAGTGGCTGATCCAACAGCAGTCATGCTTCTTGTGGTTATAGGTGTTACAGCCCCAGTCCGAAATGTCTTGGGCTCTAAAAGAAATGTCTTTACTCAGGAAGCTGGATGTCTACAGGCAGGCACAGCTGGATCCAGCCCCTCAGTGCGTCCTCAGGGCTGTTTTCACTCATTCAGGCTTCGTTCTAGACCACACTTTCTCCCGGAGGCTGAGCAGTTGAGCGCTGGCCCTGTATTGATGCTCTGTCATCCCAGTAGAAGAGCTCAGTGTTCTTTCTTCCGAAATCTCCCTCATAGGTTCTTAGGCAAGACCCTGCTTGGCCTTATTAGGGTCACATAATGACCTCTGGACCAGTCAGCTTGCCAGAGTGTGGACTCGGACTAGACACAGTTCGCATCCCGAAATTGGGACCTTGGGGAAATAACATTTCCTGTGCCTGGGTCTCCCTATGGGTAAAAGTATCGTGATCTACACCAGGTTTTCTGTGTGGACGCAGTGAGAAAACACATGTAGGATCTGTAGAACAGTGCTAGTTCAAAAAAGGAGCTCAGTAAGTGCTGAGAATCGAGTAATGCTTTTTTAACACTCTTGATTTTCAAATCTGTTCCCTTAGAATTGCTGTATGTTTATGCATGTGTAGTTTTATTTTTTTGTGTTTTAAATTTTGGAAAACAGATTATACTGTACATATTGTTTATCAAGTCACCTTCTTCAATTAATATAACTTTGAGGCTGTTTTCCATTGGCAAACATAGGGACTTAATCCTCTTACCTGCTTTGCATTCCATTTGATGAACAGACTGTAGAAATTATTTAGCATTCCCCTGTTGGTGAGTACTTAGGTTGTTCTCAGTTTGTAGTTATGGCAGTCTGCACTGTAGTGAGTGGTCTGCATGTGTGTCCCCTTAGGCCTGTGTGCAGATATCTTCACTTGTCTGGCCTAGATACCCATATGTGGGATATACATGGTAAGTGTAAGTACATTAGTTCAGAGAGTAGGTACAGTAACAATTAGAAGACTTTCCTATATTCACTGCTCAAAGGAACCATTTTTACCAGCTCGAGGTCCATTCGTTTCTCTCTTTTTATACTTCCATAAACCTACATGCACCTAACACAATTATCAGTACATATTAAGTGCCAAGTGAAAATACTTGTCAGAGGAATGCTCCTGTGTTGGATTAGCAAGAATTGTCATTTCAGCTACTATTATAGCTCAAGTAACTGGCATGAATTTCCTTGATGTAAAATACTTAATAACAAACCTCTCTTTTTAAACATTTTAAATAACAAAGGCTAGACAGTTGTGTGTGCAAGTTGTTTACAGATATGGGCAAAAAATTTTTTAAAAACATTCATGGACTCAGACTACATATATTTATTTAGCAAATATTTATCTAGTATCTTTCATGTGCCAGCACTGTTGCACTATTCTAGACCCTTTGGGTTTAGTGGTGAACAAAATGAACAACCACTCCTTTCATAGAGTGAGCAGCCATCAATAAAGTCTCAACCCACTTCTGAAATGCTTCATACAGACGCACTTCGCTCTTTGTAAAGGTGCTCCGTAGAATGAGTGGGCCATCACGGAAAACGAGAGCTGTCAGTATGCACATTGGCCTCTTCATCCATACGGTGAACTCTGCGTGTGCAGAAACCAGTAGGTCAGCTGTGTCCTCGGCACCTAAGCAACCTCTGTCAGCTGCTTGTTGTGCTGCATTGTTATAAACTATGTCTGCCTCTCACCACTGGATGCTCAGAGTCAGTAGTCAGCGTTGGAGGGATAGTTGGGCTGTTTTAACAGTAACCAAAGTCACAATGACTGAGTTAAAATAGCAGTTGTCTGTTACTTGTAAGACTGAGCTGTTGAGGCAGTTTAGGGCAAATAGGTGGCGCTGTGCCACTAGACTGTGATGGCACAGTGAGGGTGCTGCCCTAATCTGCACTGTCAAAGCAAGTCTGAATTCTAGGGGTGAGATAACTGCCGGCAGTCACCAGCAAGTTGTAAGCGTCTGCATGCTGCTTCCTTCCTGTGGGTCAGAAACTATCACATGGCCAGGCCTAGCAGCAGAGCTGGAGAGTGGAGTTTGTAGCTGGCTGGCGATGTACCTGGCTAAAACTTGGGATTGTATCATCAAAGGAAAGCCAGTCTATCTTAGGTAAGGGCTCCATCTGCTCCTTGGCATGATGGGAGGCCCCTGGAGACAAGTGGTGGATGGATGGACAGGTGGGTGGATGGATGGATTAATGGACAGATGATAGAGTGTGTGCCATGGAGGCACCTTGAAATATTTATTGGATTCTTGAAAGGGAAGGAAGCGAATGGAAAGTAGTGAAGAAGCTGAAGTGTTTGTGGGTAGTGTCCATACTATGCCTTCTGTAACACCCTATCACACCTTCCAGGGTGGCGCTGAAGGAGCGGAATGGAGTGGTGCCCGATGGTGACTCTCCAGTGAAGAGACCAGGAAGGAAGGCAGCCCGGGTCCTGGGCAGTGAAGGGGAGGAGGAGGATGAAGTCCTCACCCCCACCAAGGGCCAGGTAGGTCCCCATCTGCCTACCTATTTTTACTGGAAGACATCGTAATTCCTATTTACCTTCATAACTGGTGCATCAGCTGCTCAGGAGACCCCTGGAGACTTTCTCAGGAGTTGATGAGGTTGCGATTATGCCCCTGAGCAGACAGCCTGGTCCACGTGGTCCTAATACTGCCTCTACCCTGGGACCTGGGGAGGCTCTTTTACCTCCTGTGGCTTGGCACTTCTCTTGTAATGTGCAGTCCTAGTAGCACCTGTCTCACAGGCTGGCTGAGGCTGGAATGAGTCCATTCACATAGCTGAGGGGGCTTCAGAAAGGTTTGTAGAAAAAATGGAATTTTAAGTTTATTTTAGTACAAACATTTTTTGTTTTTAATCAGTGCATAGCTTTTACATAATTTGCATTTTCCATGAACTTTTTGAAGACGCTCCCCATTGATCTGATTATATCATCTGATACAAAGCAAGGGCTCAAAAATACATCCAGCCTCTCCTATAGAAAGACTTCATCCTTTCCAGATACATGGATCACTTCATTCCCCCGTTTCAGCGTCACTCGCGACGCTTGTTCTCTGTGGATAGGGAGTCCATCCTGGATTATCTAGGTTGGCCCAAGCAATCACAGGGCTTTTACAAGTGGAAGAGGAGGCAGGCAGAGTGAGAGGTGCCCACAGAAGGAAAGCACAGAGGGAGACTACATTACCACTTTGAAAATGGAGAAGAGAATGTCTCTGAAAGCTGGCAAAGGCAAGGAAATTAAATTTTCCCTAGAGCTTCCAGAAACAAACGGCCCTACTGACACCCTGATTTTAGACCAGAGAGACCTGGGAAATTATTCTTTAACTGAACCATCCTATACCTACCAAGAATTCCGAGAGTCTATTAGTTTATAGAAAACAGAATTGTTATGAGGTTCCATGATGGGAGAATCTGGAACCATGAAACTGCTGGACATAGAGTGATGGCCCACGTGTTGAGAGGACAGAACCTGAGTTAGAGCTGGGGCCATGGGGCCAAAAGGAAAGGTAGGCACAGAGAGAAGACGAGAGTCCTTTGCTCTCAGCTCTTGGGGAAATGTGGTCCCTCCTTCCTCCGCTCATTCTAGAATTGCTATTTCTTTCCTTTTCCAGAAGCCTGCTCTGGATAGCCCACAAGCATCCCCTTCCAGTCCTGCCACATCTCCTGAAAACAGCCCTTCCCTCTCTGACACCTCTCCCACGGACATCTCCCCATCAGGGATCCCAAAGCGTCGCACAGGTAAGGACACAGGGGGCCTTGCCCTTTCTGTTGCCTGTCTTTTCTCTCTTCGATTTCCACACCTGGCAACTGTTTTTTATTGCAGCTTTGATCTTAGCATTGTGATTAAGAAGACAGTCTTGCCATCCACTGGCTGTGTGACCTCAGGCAGATGACTGACCTTCTCTGAGCTTTGGTTGCTTTATCTTGAAAATAGAGATGGTAATAATCACAGCACCTACTGCATAAGGGTGTCAGGAGGGTTAAGTTCATACGTGTAGAGTGCTTGGAACTAGGCTGGCCCACAGACCTCAGTAAATGTCGTTGTGATTGTCATTATTTGTAGTGATGGAGGCCATGTAGCTCCAGTAGAACTCGGGGTGGGACCATGGCCCAGGGGAGACTTCTAGAGAAGTTAATCATGCTGAGCCCTGAAGGATAAAGAGTTAGCACGAAAAGGAGGAGGAATACAGTTCTAGGCAGCAGGGATGGGGAGGTACCTGGGAAGGTTTGGTATGGGAAAGGCCAGAGCGAGAGACGCACCCACAGTGCAGAGTGGTGTGAGCATGGCTGTCCAGTATGGTTTGCCAAGCACTTGAAACAGGGAGAGTGTGGCTGAGGAACTGGGTTTTTAATGTTAAATCAATTTTAAGTAAATTTGGATTTGAAAGCAGATGCTGGATTGAGTTAGTGAAGACTTTCTAATACTTTTGCAATGACTTAGATGTGTGAGTCTACTTTTTCAATTGTAAGCAATTTTACAAAACCTAAACATGTATCAAGTTTTTTTTTTTTTTTTTTTTCTTTTCTTAAGTTTGTTTGTCAGAGACAAATATGGTTACCAGAGAGAGAGAAAAATACCCCTGATGGATTGTGGTCACACCGCTATCCCTTCTCCTCCATTTCTCTGTCCTGTTGGAATTTCAGGCATGCATTCACACTCACACTTGTGTTTTTCAAGCTGCTGGGGCCAGGATTTGAACCACGTAGTTGGCCATGTGGGGTCTGGCCCTCTTAATGACCAGGACAGCAGGGCCAGCCCCAGATTGAGTATGTCTAATGAAGATTTTGTATCTGAATTGAGATGTGCATCAGATTTTAAAGACATAGCAGGAAAAAAGCATGTTGATTACTAATGTTGAAATCATAATTTGAATCTATTAAGTAAAACGTAGAAAATAAGTTCACCTTTATTTCTCTCTCTCTCTTTTTTTTTTTTTAAAAAGATTATGTATTTATTTCCTGAAAGAGAGAGAGCACATAACAACATCCCAACAGGGTTTTGACGCAGTAACCTAGCCCCGAATCATGGGCACACATGTGGCCCCCATACTCAGGGATGTGGCCTTGCTGCTGGACCACCGTCCAGCCCTGTCCTCTTATTAAGAGTATCTGCTAGAAGGTTTAAGGTGACGTTTGTGGCTTGCGGAATATTTCCACTGGGCTGCACTGCTAATACAGGGCTCTGTGGGAGCTCAGAAGTTAGCCAGCCCAGAGCAGGTGATGTCCGAGCTAAAAGATGGGTTATGGTTGGCTCTTTTGAGCTAGACAACCAGAGAGTGTTCCACACAAGAACAGCATGTGCAGGGACCTGTCTGGGAACTCTTATACTTCCATATTTCTGAAGAATAAAATGCTATCTGGGGAGCAGGGAAAGTTTGAAGGGTGTGTGGTGAGAGATGAGCCAGAGAGGAACGTGGGGGCCTAGATTCCTAAGGGCTCTGCATACCAGGCTAAGGGGCCCAGGCTTCGTCCTGGGAGTACTGAGGAGCCATAGGAGGGCTATGAGCTAGGAGAGGCAAAGTCAGCCCTGGGCCTCTGAGTGAGAAGGGGTCACACTGAAATAACAGAGTGACTTAGAGCATGCCGGGAGCCCAGGTGGACACCAAGGTTGGCCCCAGAGTGTGTCAGAATTCTTTTCACAGGAATGATGTTGAACTATGGCCTACAGGGCCATCAGTGGCATGGCAAAGGCCCAGAGCATGGCACAGCTTGGTGTGTTTGGGAACAAGACCAGTCAGCCATGCTTGTAAAAGAAAGTGGATTGTGTGGTATGAGAGAAATCAGGTCAGGAGGAGAGGGATGAGATTCAAATGGGTGGGTATGAAAAGACTTTATCCTGGGAAAGTGGAGAATGGAGTTGTGGAAAAGTTCGAGCAGGAAGGGACCGTGCCAGCCTCGACTATTAGGAGGTCCCCTTGGGGCTGTGCGAAGGAGCCACTGTGGGACAGAAGACCATGGAGGAGGTGTTCCAGTGTCTGTATGAGTGAGAGCAGTGAAAATGCCCTTTGGTGCCATTACTGAGCTCTTCTCCACGTGTTCGTGTCTCACTGTGGTGTCCTGTAGAAGCAGGCTTCTGAACTCTGAACAGGGTTCAAGTGCAAGTCCTTTCTTTGGGAGGTGCAGGGAACATGGATGGTGATTCAGGGGATGGGGCAGGCAACACAGATGTGTTACTAGGTCAGCTGCTGGGGCAGGCAGCTGGAGCTTAATTCTGTGGGGGTCCCCTGGGGATGGCATAAGCGTGGGCTTGGAATTATTTCCCCAGAGTGCAAGGAAGTGGGGTGTTCATACACCAAGTTCCATTATCCATTGGGTGGGGCTACTTCAAGGCCTTTCGATCCTCACAGCTTCTAGACTTTGAGGTCTAGGAAAGCTGTCTGTGACGCACAAGGTAGCCAGATCAAGGGGTGAGGTGGAGCTCTGAGAGCACCTCCTTGTAGTCAGGCACTGCTGAGCATGTCACACTGCGCTTATTTGCTAGGATTATTTCCATTCTTCATGTATGGGAGAGTGAGGCACAGAGAGATTAAGTTAACTGCTCGGGGTCACACAGTCTGGAAGCCACAGGACTTGAAGGATGAGGCCTGCTCTGGGCAGTGGCAGTGAGAGAGCACCCAGGGCCTCTCAGAGGCACCATGGGTGGACCTGAGCTGACTGGGGTGGGAGCAGGTAGGCCAGTGTGGTTGGCCCCACAGAGCCCTTTGCTTTCCCAGCTCGGAAGCAGATTCCAAAACGGACAATTCAGGATGTCCTAGAAGAGCAGAGTGAGGACAAGGCCCGAGAAACCAAGAGGAAGAAGGAGGAGGAAGGTGAGGCACCAGGGGAGAGGTGTGTGTGTGTGTGTGTGTGTGTGTGTATGTGTGTGTTTGAGAGAGGGAAGGAGGGATGGGGGAATTGGGAAAGTTGGGCATCTGAAAGTACAGTGTTTGCGCCCTACTGACTTCGTCTGTGTCCAGACTCCAAACGTGTCAGCCGAATTCCACACTGACATAGCAGTTTCTGTTAGGAAGGCAATTTGCATATTTATTTGGTTCATTTCTTTGGCCATCTTCCATAGTTTTCATTCATATTCAGTCTATTTTTATCTCCTATTTTTATATTTATGAAATAACGTTTTCCTCTCAATGTTTCCTTTTTCTATGAAGCAGAAGTTCTCGAACTTCTTGGTTCACAGCACCCTAGTGTCATAGTCATTTATTCACAGTGCTTCTGAGCCAATATATGAATAGTTCCACTTATTAGGTAGTTTTGACTATCAATTAACACACACATTGAAAGAAAAAATATTTGTATTTTGTTCTTGAATGACCACTATTGCTTCCTAATGGGATGTGCCCCGCATGCTGCACAGCATTTCAGACTGGAATCCAGTTGAAAACTGTCACCCTCATCCTGTTCCATGTTGATTTTTGCAAAGTCCTTGGTTTTTGTAAGAGCAGCCAGTGAAAACCCATCTTTGCAGCCATAGGCATCGCTGCAATGAAACACATGCCTCGAGGTAGTAGTTTGTAGTGTCCACCAGGTGTCGCTAGCTTCCTCTGAAAGTGAAATACCTACAGTGTTCCAGTACCTGCGGTGTCCACATGGGAAACAGCCCTAATGATCCATTTAGGGCCTGCACTCATACCGGCTCCATTCTGGCCACTGTCAGGTTTTGTTTCTTTAGTAAAATGTAAAATGTCCTCGCTGGGCCTCATTTTCCCAGGCAGATGTGATTTTGGTGGTACTTTGATTTCTTGTTGGCAATTTTTAGCCTGTAACAGATTTTACTGTGAATCTTGGAGTTTTAGCCATCGACAGTGTCTAAAGATGGAGAAAAGGATTCTTTCTACTAAAGCAAAATTTTCCCAAGTTAATTTTCACAATTTTGTTACTCTAGAGGAATGATTTTCTTTTTTTCAGTTTTAAAAATGGTATTTTTGTTCATAATAAACTGTTATATGCATTTTGGACTCTTTCAAATTATATCTTGGTATGAGTAATTCAAAAGAATAGTTCTAAGAAAAGATCATGTTTGTTTCTTAACTCTGCAGGTAAACAGTGTGGCTGGTTTTCCTCAGGCCATCTTGCTCAGGGTTGCCCCGGAGTAGGCTCTGCCACCTCCCATCACTTTACAGATGCCCGATTGGTGCAAGAAACAACGGGCTGGGGCAGAAGGTCTCTGCAGCCAGACTGTTCTTATGGGAGGAGGTTAAAGTAATTTTTGCTGTCTGAGTTTTCTGTCTATCACCAGAAGCAGAGACCCCAAGAGAAAGCCTCACAGAAACTCAAGTGACAAAGAAGAAGGAAGCAGAAGAGGGGGACCAACCCACGACACCCACCATGACCCTAAAAACCTCTAGTGAGTTTCTTACTGTCTCCTTCCCCTGGCCTCATCTCCTTGATTTTGGGGTCAGACATCTTTGGAAGACAGTTCATTTAAACAGAGCATAGATTCTCAATCATGTTGTTTAAATGCAAAATCTAGACAGTTTTGTTATTAACTTTTTAAAATTGTTAATGTTTTCCCCTCATGCATGTGGGAAAAGAGGAAAGAGCCAGTCATCCTCCCAACAGTCGAAATCCTCAGTGTTAATTGACTGCTTCTAATTGAGCAGTGACTTATTAAGTGAAGCAACCAGGTGAGGTATGGGACATTGGAGGCGGTATCCATTAGATCCAGTGCTGGAAGCGACACTTGCCGGGACAGCTTTAGGGACGCAGAGTTATATCTTATTTTCTGCAATTGCTGGAGAAGTCAGAATATTTTTTATAATCATGCTGAGATATCTTTTTACCACTGTTTGTAAATCTCCAGTTTCAGACCAAATTCTGAAATTGCTCTCATTCATTGAAGAGTAAACATCAGGCCCAAGAGGCTTGAAACTTAGGCTTCAGAAAAGAAAGGAGTGGAATTGATTACATTTCCCATCTACTGAGGCAGAATGACCTCGAGGTTAAAAAAAAGTCAAAAGTTTGCATCCCCTCTGACCTCTCTCACTTTAGCAGAAACCCCAGCAGAAAGCATTTCAGAGCCTGGGGTTACTGTGAAGCAGGAAGCACAGGATGAGGACAAGACTAAACCTCCCCCGCAAGCCTCCAAGACGCTCAGCAGTTTCTTCAGTGAGTTCCTCCTCTCCACCTCATCTGTCTACTAGGGTTGCGCGGGCAGGAGACAGGTGTGTTTTTCTCTAGAGAGAGCTGCTGATCCTGCCTGGTTTCCTGTCTGTTAGAAAGGCCCACTCCCTTTGCCTGACTTTTCACCCATCACCTTGGACCTATGGATGGTCCTGTGCAGATTAGGGTGGGAGTTGGGGGCTGTCCAGAGGAGAAAATATTCACCATTTACTGCTTCATTCCCAGCTCCTCGGAAGCCAGCAGTCAAGAAGGAAGTGAAAGAAGAGGAGTCGGGCAAGCCATCAGTCAAGAAGGAAGTGAAGGAAGAGGGGTCGGGCGTTCCAAAAAATGAGGAGACCACAGAGTGAGTCGGTGACCAGGTCTGAATTTGTCAGGCATCTTCCTTTCCCTCCATCCCATAGCCCCAGGCCCAACTCAGCCTGCCTTTTCTTGCAGGAGTTGAGAAACCTTTTTTCTGTAAGGGCTAGATAGTGAGTATAGCGCATTTGGCCCCTCCTTCAAAACCATTGTTAGCTCGGGAACCAGCAGTTAGCGTAATGGCTATGTCGCTGGACTCCCACGTAGTCGACCGCGGTTCGTGTCCTGGACCCGGTGGCTTAAAACTCACGCCGGGCGCGTGTGCGTGCGTGCGTGCCCAAGATCCTGAGAGGAGAATGGAGGAGAAGGGATTGCAGCGTGACCATCCCCCCTGGGGGGTGATTTCTCGCTTTCTGTCTCTATGTCTCTCTCTGTCTGGCGAGCGCACACGCCCTACAGTGAAAATCTCTCC